GAATAGTTGCATTAAACACCAGTTTTCTTTGCTGAAGTGTGTCCTGATTATAAAGTACAGGAGCTAAATAACATCTACATCTTGTTGCATACAGAAAAACAAAACACACATACTGCATTGCATCAATATAACCCAATGCTCTTGAGCTTATGTCATTCATAGACAAAATCTGACTGTGTGAGACTTGGCTCCCTTTCAGTGCAGACACAGCAGTGAACTGCTCCTCGTTGGCATTGTCGACACTTCTGCAGATTTTCGTGGAGACAGTGATGAACACTAAAGCTTTTGGCACCGTTTGTAAACTAGTGGGAGAGCAGAGTAACTTAGTTTGTTTGGCATGTCAGACTAAAACAATAGCACATGATTAGTTCAAGGTGTGGTGGGAACCAAAAAAAAAAACATATTTGGCGGTGACAAAAAAACTTGGCAAAGTAGATATACAAGAATTGTTTTCGTAATATGATAATTGTTTATCAGTCATTAACAAAGTTGTGATGATACAAACCTTTCAGCAGTATTACAGTATGATGTCAGCACGTTTGTATGTAATTGCTGTAGATAGATATGTAGAGAAATGTTTGTATAATGTAGATAGTTTTACACTGGTTCTAGACCAGTTTATATACAAAGATATAAAATACCGTTTACATGTACACTATAGTGCATTAGATTTTGCAAAAGTATGCACCAGTGATTTACATAATTGTGCACCGATTTGCACCTGAACTTTGACCTTTGACACATTTTAGAACATCCTATACTGTAGTTGTTTTAGTGAGAGTAACAAAGTGAGAATTACGATCAGAATTTTATCAGATTGATTCACATGTTATGACGAAAATGAATTGGTGCAGATGAAATCACCTGGTAAGTACAGAGAGTGTGAAGGTCATTGTCTATTACAGGGAGAAGTTGAGAGGGAGATTGGAGTTATGTGAGGCTGTGGGATCATTGTCTATTACAGGGAGAAGCTGGTTGGATTATGTTGTGGGATCATTGTCTATCTTAAGATGCAGAGAGCTGTGGGAAGATTACAGGGAGAAGTTGAGGGGGAGATCTGTGGGATCATTGTCTATTACAGGGAGAAGCTGAGGTGGGGAGTTATATATATCAATATCAGTTATGTGAGGCTGTGGGATCATTTATTACAGGGAGAAGCTAAATTTATGTGAGGCTGTGGGATCAAAAGTGAAGTGCGGAGTGGAGTTATGTGAGGCTGTGGGAAGATTTTAATGGAGAAGTTGTGAGGGAGAATAGAGTTATGTGAGGCTGTGGGATCATTGTCTATTACAGGGAGAAGCTGAGGGGGAGATTGGAGTTATGTGAGGCTGTGGGATCATTGTCTATTACAGGGAGAAGCTGAGGGGGAGATTGGAGTTATGTGAGGCTGTGGGATCATTGTCTATTACAGGGAGAAGCTGAGGGGGAGATTGGAGTTATGTGAGGCTGTGGGATCATTGTCTATTACAGGGAGAAGCTGAGGGGGAGATTGGAGTTATGTGAGGCTGTGGGATCATTGTCTATTACAGGGAGAAGCTGAAGTGGGGAGTGGAGTTATGTGAGGCTGTGGGATCATTGTCTATTACACTGCCTTATCAATGCTCTAGATAGACAGCATGCTTGTCTGTTTTGTGTATTGATGTCAATGGCTGTGTGGTAACAGACTATAAGCTGTTCTCATGGTCTCTCAAGTGTTTGGTGAAACTATCAATCAATCTTAAGACTTTCTCATTCAAGGTGTTTCTTTGTAAACAGTGGTGCAGTATTAAGACTCCTTTTACTTCTTAAACAGACCAAGCATACTTTATCACAATTCTGGTTGATTTTTCTGGCATGAAAGTTGTGCTATATTTAGCTGATGGAATCTCATGTGGTAAGATTGAGTCGATATACTACAGTTGACTAAAGTGTGTACCTGTTACAAAGGAGAGTTGTCCATCATTTTGGACTTAATTTTCAAATGTAACTGATTTTAGAATGGAACTGCTGGCCACCTCAGTGGGGAGTGGGTTACACCCAACAATTAATTATATGTTAATTGACTATTATGAAATAACTGTATACTAAATATTCTGAATGTACAAAAGCACTTATCACATTATTGGAAGTAAATTGATGTTGTCATTTCCCCCCATCCCACTCCTACTGAAAAATCCAATTCCAGTTTGATTCAAGAACCTATCTTGTAAAAATGAATATTATGTGTCATTGTATGCAAAACAATACACATTTTCTGACATAGAGAAGATACAAAATTTTATATCCTAGAAAAAAAAGTATTATCTGCTTTTAACAGTTATCATATTAAAAAGTAGTTATCCTTGAATTTTTTTACCAAACATGTAATTTCCTCATAGTTACACTAGCTTTGAGTTTTACTCTCTAAGTTTCAAGATTTTATCGGGTTAGAACCCTTTATTAATTTTAGAGTAGGTAGTTGACAAGTCATAGCACAGCTGGTGAGAAAGGATGAGATTTGTCTCAGGAGGAAAAGTCATTCTGACAATTGTAGGGTGTCTGGCATTGTACATGGTTTATGGGATGTTGATGGTGGCACAGACTTCACAGAATAATCCTGTCATGTTCCATCATCAAACACACAACTCTCATTGACTTCCCAGACCTGTTCAGTCAGTTTGGTGGGAGGCCCAGAGAGAGGCTCCCCTGTACCTTGGGAGGCTGGAGCAATGTTGCATATAGCTTGTTCAGACAAAAGATTAGATCTAAGGCTTAAATCTTATTTGCCTCCCTGACCTGTTCAGTGACAGGTTGATGGGAGACTCTTCAGTGGGAGGTTTCATGTATCTGTAGCCTGTTCAGAAAATTACATATCTATTGAGAGGATGAAGCCATGTTGATTACAGCTTGTTCAGACAAGGTTTGGAACAAGACTTGTTTCTGTTCAGACATGTAGGAGGTTCAGTGGTGGCCATAGATATCAAAGTCATGCTGATGTAGCTTAGAACAACAACATGATAAATAAACTGCCATTGCTTACAATTGTACCACAGACACTGTACTATATATAATACTTGTGCCAAATTGCAGAGTATCAATATATATACATATTTCTTTCAAACAAAGTCACCTTTGATTCATATACTTTTTGTTAAGAAGAAACATGTTTTAAACAAGTGAACTGTATGGTGAAATGATGTGGCCATCTATCTTGACTTGGAAACAAATGTTCGGAAGTAAGAGCATCTGACTATACAAATAACCAAATTTATGTGACAAAGCAATAGCTGATCCTGATCTGTAAAGATGTGGCAAGTATTTATATGACCCTGACCAATTGTGACCCCAAGACAAGAACTTTAATGACTCAGATTTGTGATATTATGACTGAAGCATTCTTTTCATCCTGATTGGTTCCCAATAAATTGACACTGACAAGAATTTATATGACCCTGATTTATGATACTGTGACAAGAATTTATATGACCCTAATTTATGATACTGTGACAAGAATTTATATGACCCTAATTTATGATACTGTGACAAGAATTTATATGACCCTGATTTATGATATTGTGACAAGAATTTATTTGACCCTGATTTTTGATACTGTGACAAGAATTTATATGATCCTGTTTGCTAACACAAAGAAATAAATAGTGGTGACTATTGAGACCAACAAATTTTTCATGATGGTATTGCGATAGTAAAATTACTAATGTGATATTATTGTGATAGTCAACATCCTAACCAAAATGTGAGAGATGTCAACCAAATCAAAATATGAGAAATGTTATCCTAATAAAAATCTGAAAGATGTGCAGATGAGGGTTTAATAGATACAGAGATGTCTCATGATTATAATGCAGACACAGAGTACTTAATGTAACTGACAAGAAAATGGTCTGACTGGCCACCTTACAGAAAATGGTTCTGCATTTTGTGTCGCTTACCAGAAGCTGAGATATTAGGAGCTGTGTGGCCTTAGAAAACAATTTCATGTCAGGTTGATGTGCCTAGGTTGTAGTTGATGGTTTTCACTTAGAGATTTTTACGGACATGAAACCAAATTAGAGAGATTGAAATGAGAGATTAGCCACCAAGACATGGATCACAAAGGACTCGCCTTAGTGCAGAGTCACACAGCTTTCTGGTATGGTCTTGTTAAAATCAATAATTCCCTTTTCTACAGTTCTTTGCTAATTATAATGATGGCTTAGTTGATGATCAAGACTTTTCAAATCTATTTGTTCACGCAGATTTGCATTCTGTTGTTTGTAAAAAGAATAGTTCAATTGATGTTGTTCTATAATGAGAACTAGAAAGCGCCAAAGTTTTTTCTCATTCTAATCTTCATGTTTCGTTGACTTAGCTACAACCAAATGCATGTCAGATTCTGCTGAGGCTAGAAAAGCGATTTAATGGTTTAAATTTTTTTCAGGAATAAAAAAGAAATCGTTTGAAGCCTAATAAGCAATAAGCTTGATAAAGAATTTTTTTTATTTGATTTTATGAATTTATAATAAAGTTTGAATTAATTATAATCTTGTAAATGTTTTGGAATGTTAGTCTGAGGTAAGATTGTAGACATACAAAATTTCCAAACCCAGAGGAGTATTTTGTTAGAATATCCTATATCTTAAAGCAACTTGAAGGTCGTCCTGTAGAAATGGATACAAAAAGATTGCTATGACAGATTTCATTGAAAATGTCCCAGGTTGTTCGGTTTATCACCATCTCAACTGGGATAGGCTAATTTTGAGGTGGGTACTCACCTCATAGAGCTTGGCTTAATTTCCTTATTGAACAGTATGTGGAAGGCCACTGTCACATGCAATCAAGGGTAAATTGAGTAAGGTTCTTCCCAAAGGACACATCACGGACAACACTGGATCGCTCTGGTCTTAGTTCCTGTGAAATACAAAGGGCCCACATAAATAATCACAAATTGCAATGTCAGAAGCTGTACTGGTTGAGCTAGTGTAGCCAGTATGGTCCTATTACATAAAACATTAGACATAAGAATTTTAAATAGCCTTCAGTACATGAGAAGATTAGCATGGCCCCTGCGCAAGGATGGCACGCAAATTCGTGAAGCGTTCCATATTTTAGGTACTTGCTTCAGCAGTGCATATGTCAGTTGACTGGTATTGATGTTTTGTGTTTTGTAGCAGAAGTGAAAAAAGATGGTAATATTTGATAAAAGAGATGATAAATTTAGGTACATAATTAAATAGTGCTGAATGTAATATATGTAAAATAAAACTGTTCACTCATTTAAAAGTATGTACATATTTGCATTTGTAATATATGCACAAATCTTAGATCAGAGATGAAAAGGTTCCCTTAACCCTGGAATTTTGACAGTAATATGAGGTACATAATCTGCACACAGATATATAATACTATATGTTATTTGATGGTTTATAAGCCTGTGTACCTACACTATGATAAAGTCACCCATATTTGTTACTGTTAAGTATCATTTGTAACCAATGAATACTAATTTAACATTAAGGAAACAGCCCAGTGTGTGCCATCTTAAGTTTGAGTACGGGGTAATGAATTCAATATAACACAGTAAATGATTTGGAAACCTCCAGTGACTGTCACCATAACACACTGCTTAACACAAGACCTCCCAGAATGCACTGCAAATCGTATCACTAAATCAACAAATGGAATTCTTTACGTAATTATTAATTTTAATCAAACCAATATTATATTTACAAGCAGATTGGTGGGCTGAAAAATTTACTCGTCCGGATTGGAAATTTACTCGTCCAAATTCAGCTATGAAATGGCGACTTAATCAGCGAGGATGTGACGTGACTTTTTGAAATTTTTATTTGAAGTTTTAGTGAAAAAACTATGCAGTGATGGCTGCTTTGCATCAGACATTGTTCGCGACTTAGGCCTAGCTGTAGTGTTTGTTTACATCTGACTGACTAGGTGCTGTTAAGAATGAGAGCACCTGACATCAGTATGACCACGGGAAAATGATTTAAGATATTCCGAATGCCATATTTGACGTCATGGAAGTTACAGTGTAATCAAAAGTGAGAGTGCAGACTGGAATATTTTGTTTTTGAAGTACCGTAAACACGTTTCTTTGTTTAAAATTTTCTTTACATTTTTATTGAAATTTAAGTTGTAACATTAATATCATTGGAAAAAAGCACTCATCCGACGGACGACTGACAAAGATAAATCTGGTTGTCCGAGACAATTTTCACTCGTCCATGACGACGGGACGAGTGCTTTTCAGGACCCCTGCATTCTAGGAAGTAGCTGGTGGTTGAACAGATCTCATCATGATTCCACTTGACTTACATTCACTTTTACAGATCAATGCTTTATGCACATTTATCAAGCTAGCCAGGATTTCAAAATTATCCCTTCGGAAGCAGTGAGGAAATGTTAAACAAATGGGCAGATGGGCAAAACAGTGCCAACTGAACTACATGTATACTCAGAAACAATCTAATCGGCTGAAAAATGAAGTTTGAACAAGACTCGGCTATAGAATGTCAGTTAAGGCAGGGGAACAAAAAAAAAAAAATGGTGGAGAAGATGGTGTTGGAATTACAGAATTTTTCCTATTATCAATTATACATTATCTTCAAAATATTTTTCGTCTGTAGTCAAGATTTTAAAGGGAATGAGGAATTCCACACAGTGAAGTAAACAAAATATCTATGTATTTAAATTTTGGTAGAAAGGCAGTAACCAGTGAAGAAATTACAAACATCCCTGTCAATATTGATCCGTCGAATATTTTTGAACCAGATATGTTACACTTTTATGGCAAACATGCATATCTAGAGCTGACAATGGATGACATCATGTACTGTGACACATACATTGATTTTGAACTGCTCATCAGTTTATTGATGTTGTGCCTTACAGCCTGGGCCAGACTACCATTATAGACTTAAGTGTAGACAACATGCTACGCCACGCTACACCACACGCTACACCGTACTGTTACCAGCTTGGCTCATCCACTCGCACATCATGATATTGTTTCTATCTCTGCTGCATTAGTTCTGACCATGCAGCCTTGCAAGCAAGTAGATCAATGGGTGGAAATAAGCAACGAAGATGATTGTGTTATTGATTGTGATTAATTCAAACTAACTTACACGTTGTGTGTAATGTACAGTCTTATGTTGTGTTGGGCTTATAATGTTTATTATTTTCACATGCAGTAATTTCTATTACATGATAGGTTCATCCTGCAAAAATACAAGAAGAGCAACATCTAATATTAGGAACTGGGTTTATTACAACACGATTAACTAACAGTGGTTGGTAAATATAATGAACAGTAATGAGTGGGCTTATTCCAGTACAATGAAATAACATTGGTAATTGGGAAGTCAAATGAACAGTAATGAGTGGGCTAATTGCAGGACAATTAAATAACATTGGTTATTGGGAAGTCAAATGAACAGTAATGAGTGGGCTTATTGCAGGACAATGAAATAACATTGGTAATTGGTAAATCAAATGAACAGTAATGAGTGGGCTTATTGCAGGACAATGAAATAACATTGGTTATTGGGAAGTCAAATGAACAGTAATGAGTGGGCTTATTGCAGGACAATGAAATAACATTGGTAATTGGTAAATCAAATGAACAGTAATGAGTGGGCTTATTCCAGTACAATGAAATAACATTGGTTATTGGTAAATCAAATGAACAGTAATGAGTGGGCTTATTGCAGGACAATGAAATAACATTGGTAATTGGTAAATCAAATGAACAGTAATGAGTGGGCTTATTGCAGGACAATGAAATAACATTGGTAATTGGTAAATCTACTTAACAGTAATGAGTAGACTTATGAACACACTGAACAGTATTGATGCCAAAGATGGGTGGGCGTATTGGGTAGCATTGGGTTTATATACAGTAATATTCCTCTATTTGAAATTCAGTCAAAAAGCTTTAGTAATAGGAGATTAGTATTAGGTCACTTATTTATGTCTGTCATTGGCTTTTGATCAGTTTGACTTTGTGTCAGCTTGGTTTCTGAATTTGAAATAAACATTTTGTCCTAGAAAATGTATTTGCTAAGACAAAAAAATTAATTTCAAGTACAACTGGGGGAAAATTGAAAATCTTTTGTAAGGCTTGAAAAAAAGGTGATGGACATAAAGAATGGTCTTGATTAACATTTAGTTTCTCCAGTATTGACTAAATGGATCAGCAGTGTTTAGGTATCGACAGTATGTAGCCACGCAAGTTTTTCGGTCGGAAACATCAGACTGATGCTATCTGATAATTACAAACAACATTAAATCATATCCCACCAAGCCTGAGTCACCTTCTATTGGAAAACAGTGTATCAGGAGTATACAGATCTCCAGTGCGGTGACTGTGCATAGATACACTGGCAGGTCTAGGTGCATTACTCATGGGCAGTTATCATGGATGAATCGCGATGAATCGCACAGAATCCTCAGAGTATGGGAAAAAAATTGATTAATTGGCTACAGCTAGTCCAATGAATTGTTATTTATTCATTTCAAATTGTACACTTTACATTGTAACTGTCAAGAGATTTTGCAAATTAGATAATACAAGAATTTAGTATTTATAAGTGTGTTTCATACATATGACAAGTATTTGTAAAATGATATATTTTCTGTTCAAAATTCTATATGAGATAAACCTAAAAGAACAAATTATTTATGGTTACAGAATAGTGTTAAGCTGTTTCCAAAAGCTTTGTCTATAAGTAATATATAATCAATGGGGCATTGATAAATTTCAGTTAGAATAATAAGAATTATCTGTCGATAAAATCCTTTGGGGAAAGATTCTGGAAGGGCTTAAGAGAACTGTGTAGGCTGGGATATGTAGCAACTTATCTGTAAACTGAAAGTCTTTGTAATTACCATATCATCTGTAAGAAAAAATGATGACAAATTGAAATACAAATTGCAATGGTATTGTGTTTTTTTGTTTGATATTGTCATTTAGGGAAAAAAAATTGCTGAATTAGTTGAGCCCTGGAAGTACAAAATGTTAATGAAAGCATGACAGGAATAATTACTGCTCCCCAGAGTGTTAAACAGCAATAATAACTGCTCCCTTATGTGTAGTTTATTGTGCAGCTGACATGATTGGAAAGTATGATAAATTAAGTACTTTTGGGCGGGACATTACTGAATGCACATTATATTAGGCTGTTATTAGGGGTGATGCATTTCCTTGAATTAGGTTACCACTAAAACATCATTAAAGCCAAGATTTGTATCAGATTTGTTTGGGTATGATTTTAAAGGTTTGCTACCCTGAGCTCTTTAGATCTGGAGTTCCTCTGTTTTAATGGAAATCAATCTGTAAATTTTTGCCACAGTTGGTCCATATACCACTTGAAAAATTCAGCGCTCAGGAAGTTTTGCTTAACGCTTATTGATTAGTGTAATGGGATCTAATTAAAAAAGAAAGAAAATCTTGTGATTGATGGCAGATGAAAAAGTGTTACAATGGAATGAATAGTTTAGACAATTAGTTAAATTTCTTTTTTCACAGTAGGATTTTTACATGAATTTGCCCTGAACCTCTACTAATTGTATTAAACTTGACAACAGTTCCTAAAAATGAATTCATTCTTGTTACAATTTACATTGTGTTTATGAAAAATGGGTCAAAAAGATAGATCAGGTGTTTAAGTTCTTTTCTATTTTTAAATAGATCTGATCTTATTGAATACTTGATGAAATGAATGATTCATATAATTTTCTAAATTCCAATATATCCATCAGATATTCAGACCAATGAATTTCATGATGACAAGCCAGTGGAATAATGAAGTTTTTTAAAGAACGGAAAAATTGATCAGTTAAAGTAGGAACATTTTTCAGTTTCTTCAGTTTGGAAACAAATGTCACTTTCTCTCTGGTAATGATTTTCGTATTTGTTTGTAGCTGAAACATTGTTCTGTTATGTAATTTAATTTACTTAATTGCTTTAATTTACCCAGCCAGTGATGCCTTGGGTATTTACAGGTATAATAAGACATAATAAGACACATGGTGTTTAGTGTTCAAAATTATGGAAAATGTCAGGAGATAATTACTAACATTGATTATGTAATTACTGTCTTTACACTTGATTGTGTAGATGTCTAAGTTTTGTTAGTCAACAATTACTGGAAGAATACACTACATACTGTGTTACAGAAGTATCCATCACCATTAAGTATAAGAACTTGAAGCCAGGAAGTTATTTTATTAACCTGTTGTCTACCCTGATGATTTTCAGGATTATCTCCCTTGTTAGCTCTTTAAGTTTTCTTAATCATTAATTAATGGAAATGTACATTACATATTTTATTACTGGATTATTCAATTCAGAAGTATCCATGACAATTCAGTGTAAGGACTTGAGACAAACAAATTATTTAACCAACCAATTATCTCCCAGCTGATATTGAAGATTATCTCCCTTGTGAGCCACTTGCTCTTTTGATAACTGGCATGCTTCAGCCAAAAATGTAAATTCTTACCCATCCTGTACATGGAGTAGTGGCTTGATCTTGGTGTCTGTGGCTAGCAAGAATTGATGGGATTTTGAGACTGGTATTATTGAAAAGAAATTTTATTAATGATTAAATGAAGCACTGTGGATTGTATCATTTGTGAATAGAATAAGAGTATGTGTGTCTCTCTCTTCATCCTCTCCTCATTTTCTGTTTATAGATATATTTGATAAATTCTTTGTGTTCTGATGGCTATAAGAAGGATATTAGATACTGATCAGTAGTAATTCTGTTGTAAGTACATAAGCTTTTAGATTAAAAAGTGAAAAAACGTACTTTTAATCGTTATATAATGAATTTATGGAAATAATTGTTTCATTGGATTACTTCTCCGATGAGCTTATGGATTACCTCCCTTGTAACAATGAATGTCTGGGAACCCATTAGGATTAATGAGCTATTGCGGTCAGGTTAATCAACAAAGCTGACTAGTCTGTTATAATAACTGCTTTGTTTTAAAGAGGAGTCTCATGCCAGTTACAGAAAATTTTAGCGTGAAACTTGTAAAACTCATTGTTAGCTTTATTATGTGTCCCAAAACATCATCCAATTCAATATGTTTAGAAAAATACAAAATTCTGTAAAAACATTGAACTGCAGATATGAGGGTATGCTTGCTTTACTTGCAGTCTTTGTAATTATTGAAACATGACCAAAACAAATTCTATTTTCAAATTTTCTATTAAACTGACAGGTCTTGTTAATGTTTTTTATTAGAATAAACTTTCGCAGAATTTGAGAATTATACTAATTATGTAGAATACACTCATTTCCCAGTTTTAAATGAAATTGCATATTCATAAAGGCACATATGTATTAATAAAATGGAGACATACCAGAACTTGGTGTATGAGTTACTTCCACATGGGACCTCTGTGTAAGCACCAGGCGACATAATCATGTTGTAATTTATAGATCATTTCATCAGACTTTTTAATTAATTTTTAGTTGTATGCACCGTTGACTGCTTTCATGAGGGTTTCAGCTGTTGTGATGATGACGAGAGATACTTAACTTTGAAAGCGTTTTACTTCAAGGTTTATTGATCTTGGTTGGTTGTGGAGTGCATCACTCTGTAGTTTCAAAAGTACAGTATGTAGTGTGTTATTTTACCTGATGACCTTAGTATATAGTGATCACTTCAGGTTACATTTCCAATCACTCACTTGGAGGTCACTGTGGTACATGTCCTGTGTGAAGTTCACTTTGTTTTGTTGCAGGGTTTTTAGGAAAGAACCAAAATAAAGAGAAACTATTTTATAGGGTATGACTTTAGATTGTAAGATTCAACTCACACTATTAAGACAACACAACACACTAGGCTGAAGAGGAATTAATTCCTTTTGGCCAAATTTCAATTTTTTTTTTTTTTACAGACTTACCAATTGAAATGAAAATTGTGTATCTGGGAGATCTCCTTGGTTGACATAGCAACACTAGAAACATAATTTGAAAAAAAGGGGAGATAATCACTGAGACATTAGCTTGGTAATCTGAGCTTAATTAAAGCTGATATTGGATTTGCAATAGATACCATACTACAGATATCATTAATGGGTGCTGTGCAAGGAGATGTTTTAAAATGAAATAAAATCATCAGACTGCCTTCTTAGATAATTATATTTGATTATAATTAGTAGTTTGATGTTGGATATATAAAACGGATTCTGTTGCCATGGTTCCGCTGGGATTAGGGATACATTAGATCTGTATGTATAGATCACTTGTCTATGTAAAGACATAAGTCAGGAAGGCTGTTTGACACTGGATTTGACAGCTTAAGTGTTTCCATGGCTCTTACTTTCTCACTGACTGACAGATCATGATACCATTGTAATTTACATACAGGATATGTGGAACAAATAAGGATTTACTTTCCACATATCTTCAGTTTGGTTTTCTGTTGAAAAACCTTTAAAGACAGTTGATGCAAGTTCAGTTCTATACCCCCCCATACCCCCCCCCCCCCCCCCAAAAAAAAAAAAAAACAAAAAACCCAGATTAATAAATCAGGAGATTGGAATCTCCACATTATTATTGATACCAGTGATGACACCGGTGTGGATGTTGTCATCATCAACATTTTTGTCCTAGTTTTTCTCGTCCTCCACATCATAACCTATAGCTATATATTCATTGTCTGTTTTTGTTTACAGATTGTTACAGTCAAGACATCTTCATTGATGGGAACCCAAACCGCCAAGTGCAAGGAACAGAGAACGCCTTGTTCAAATGTGAAGCATCTGTTACAGACAACAAAGATCCTGAGCTCAAGTGGTTTAACCCGAGCAATGAACAAATCCTTGATGATGGATCTAATAAACAGTGAGTTCAACTTGGTATTTTCTTGCCCATAACCAATAAGTGATAGGTCATTAAGCTAGGCCAAGCTGGAATGATGCCACATCACCAATAAGTGATAGGTCATGAAACTAGGCCAAGCTAGGATGATGCCACATCACCAATAAGTGATAGGTCACTAAACTAGGCCAAGCTGGGATGATGCCACATCACCAATAAGTGATAGGTCATTAAACTAGGCCAAGCTAGGATGATGCCACATCACCAATAAGTGATAGGTCATTAAATTAGGCCAAGCTAGGATGATGCCACATCACCAATAAGTGATAGGTCATTAAATTAGGCCAAGCTAGGATGATGCCACATCACCAATAAGTGATAGGTCACTAAACTAGGCCAAGCTGGGATGATGCCACATTACCAATAAGTGATAGGTCATTAAACTAGGCCAAGCTAGGATGATGCCACATCACCAATAAGTGATAGGTCACTAAACTAGGCCAAGCTGGGATGATGCCACATCACCAATAAGTGATAGGTCATTAAACTAGGCCAAGCTGGGATGATGCCACATCACCAATAAGTGATAGGTCATTAAACTAGGCCAAGCTGGGATGATGCCACATCACTAATAAGTGATAGGTCATTAAACTAGGCTAAGCTAGGATGATGCCACATCACCAATAAGTGATAGGTCATTAAACTAGGCCAAGCTGGGATGATGCCACATCACCAATAAGTGATAGGTCATTAAACTAGGCTAAGCTAGGATGATGCCACATCACCAATAAGTGATAGGTCATTAAATTAGGCCAAGCTGGGATAATGGGATGTAACTTTAAATACTGATGTCCAAACTTGCTTACTTGCATAGATTAAGTTTGCTAAAAAATCAGTAATGAGAGATTGATCTGTAATAATGGATTACTGTACCTGTTAACCTCAAACAATACAATTATTGATTGTAAATTTTGATTATTGATCATGAAAACCTTAATATTTTCTTCGTTTTAGCTTTAAAAAATAAAAAAAATGCCTAACACTTTGTTGATTTGTTAATTTTTAGGTAAATTATTAAGACATTTTAGTTTAAAATTTCTAAAAAATGAACTTGATTGCATTCACTTTCTATGAATAATAAACAAACATTTAGCCGATTAACAGTTAGGAAAGCAGTCTGATTTACAGTGTATGGATTTGGAAGTGATTCCCCATCCTTAGTTTATATGTTTGATTTATTTTGAATTACAGAAACAATTTAATTACCAAGAGGCTTATCATATTGGACCTGTAACATACATTTCTGATTTTGACAATGAAGGATTATTATTTCTGAAGAAATGCTTGATGGATCTCGCTCTAATTTCATATTTGTCTTTCCCTTGGCCCCTAGTTTTATGTGTATGATCGCAGAATAACAAAATGGATGAACCGCCATTTTTTACTTTGACAATGAAAGTTTGTTATTGCTAATTCTTGCAAAGTACTGGATGCATCTTTTTTTTTCAAATTTTACCTGTAGGTGCATCTTGGTTCCTAGTTGTGCCCTTTTCACTATAGACTGATTAGGAAAACAGAATGGCTGACAGGCAGCCATCTTGGATTTTGATAACCAATATTTTGTTATCACTATTTCTTTAGAAGTACCGGATGGATCTTTTTCAAATTTCATATGTAGATTCCTCTCACCATTTTTGTTTTGGTATTGATTAGAAAAACAAAAATTGCTGACTAGCATGGATTTGGAGGTTAAAGCTATCATTATTTGTAAAGAGGATTTTTAGGTCATATGACCAAAGGGTCTGATGACCTATTGTGATCGCCTTTTATCCGGTGTCATCCGTCCGGTGTCATCCGTCGTCCTGACCAAAGTTTGTTAATTTAGGGTTGATCTGAAATCCAACATGGCCGCCATCTTGAAAACACATTTTCGACTTCTTCTCAAGTTCAAAATTTGAAATCTTGTATTTTATGTCAGATGACCGTTAAGGCCCATGGGCCTCTTGTTCGTCATATAATTAAGAGCATAAACAAAGGAAGGAAGAGAAAAGAGCCAACTTTTTAAAAACAGGTAAAGCTCCGACAGCAGTGAGGAGAAAGTGTGTTCTATCCTTCCCATCAGTTTATTTTGTCACAATTTTGCCATTTGGTGTCAAAACCAGAACATTAATACTACTCATCTCATATTTCTGTCACAAAAGAACTGGAATTCAAGACGATCACCACAAATGAAAATGTCCAATGAAAATTTCCGCTGAGTATCATATGTAGGATCACAAAAGTTTACAATTACAATGTTTGAGATGACATGGAGATGTTGTAACATATATTTACCTTTGTATGTTTGACCCATTTGTACAAGAAAATGTGTTGCCTTTTCTATGATGAAATTAAATCAAACTTAATTTGTCATTACTCATTTCGCACACACTTTGTTTTGTTGAATTAGCCTCATTTTCTTCTACTCTTTCCAAATAAAGCTGGAAACTGTACTGATTTTAGGAAAGTTTTCTCCTGGTTAAGCTGGACATTCAGTTGTCAAATACTGTTAAGAAGACAGGAATAGACATCGGAGAACAATTAATTTAAATTCTACAACCCAATATATGCAACATTATGGCAAAAGATGCAGAAAAAGTTTTAGTGGCATGAAATAGTTTGCCATTTTCATGAATAAGAGATATTAAGGAGTGATCCTCTTGGTTGTGGTTGTCTGTGGGCAATTTACCCTGATCAAATGGCAAATCCTGACATGCTTTTACTGTCCTTATAGCATGAGGTTGATACCAACTGCTTCAAGCAACACCCTCACAGCACAGTTAGAGAACATCACAGAGTCAATGGCTGGTGTTTACCGATGTGAAGGAGTCTTTGGTCCGGATAGCGTGAAGAAGGAGGCCACGGTCACGCTCACTGTTTCAGGTAACTTATTGTAACTGTATAACCCAGTCTCATAGGCTTAGGTCTTTGTTTCTTATATTTGGGAATAAGATGAATTGAGAAATATTGAACAATCTGGCTGGTCCTTTGTGATATAATTTTCATTCTCAAAGCCCTTTAGGCCTTACATAAAGCCAACCTCTCATCGAGGTTTCCTGCTGGATGGTGAAATTGTAAATGCAGGTAATTCAAAGAAATCATCATTGATAATATATTGTGTAACACGCCTATCCATATCTGAGGCAGTTTCTGTAGAAATGTTAAAAATTCCTGTTTCCTGTAACAAGCCTGTATATATTTCTTTAGAAAAGTAAACCATTTCTGTTTCCTGTAATAAACTTATCAATATCTGAGGCTATTTTCATAGATATGTGAAAAATTCCTGTTTCCTGTAACAAGCCTATCCTTATCTTCAGCTGTTTTTGTGGAAATGTGAAAAACTCCTGTCTTCTGTCTTAAACATGTGATGTACATATGTCATATAAATGATGAGGTTGTTTTTGTTAAAATGTTGAAAACTACTGTGCTCTATGATAATCTTATCCCCCGGTCTCAATGGTCATTGAAGGATGAATGAAGAAATGAAATCAATGGATGGTATTTTAATAAATACTGATTAAACATTCTGTTTTGTATCAAAATTATATTCATTTATATAATTATTAAAGTATTTTTTCATGTATAAATTGAAACAATTTTTTGTCTTTTTCAGCTCCGATCATTACCACTGGCATCGAAAAATACCAAGCATTCACACAGGGCCAGGATGCAGTTGTTAGATGTTCCTCTAACAGCAATGGCTTTGAAACTTCCTGGTATCGCAAGTACGACGCCACTGTTGAGTTGCCTATCAGTAAGGGTAAGTTATGAGGTCAGGGGTCAAATATCAATGAAACGTCAACTACTATACTTAAGAAAATAAAGGAAACTGTATAATAAAAAAATTGAAAACTTTTTATTTTCAGACAATGGATCTTGAATAATTCTTTTATTATGGCAGAGCATTGTTATTAAGAACAGTATTTGCTGGGATTTTTTCATTTTTTTTTTTATTGATATGTCTCTGATACTGTGATGTTAGATTATTGATGAGTGAGGGAATATGAAGGAGATTGAATATAAAAAAAAGCGTTCCTCTTACTTACTTGGCTATTGGAGTCGTTGCTGTAGGTTAGGAATTAAGGATAACTCTCAGCTCTTGTTGATGTTGCGTGTGTTTAGTATTTATTAGCTACTCAAGTCACCTCCCTAGATATTAATTGGTTAGTTCTCTATTTCCCTTTACAAATCAACCAATCAGATGATGACTCTGAAGAAATCACTGGTATGTAAGTCCGAAGTTCTGCCTGTTCACCCCTCATAAACTGCTGCGGTATGACCCTTGTCATCGAAAAGTTACAGTTTACTCTAGAGCAGAGGGGTGGACAGGACCTTTGCTATTATTCTTGATGGTTGATAACAAGTGCCTGGCCTCTGTAGCTATCTGTTCATTTGAATTCTGTTTTGAATATCCCTATGATTTATAATTAATGCACATATTTGCTTTTTGTTCAGCTTCTGATAAGGCCTGTCAAAGGGAAATAACTCTTGTTCATTGTGCATGTTGATGTATTGATGAAAAATTTTGTTCTCAAGCATTTCCTGGAAGGTGAAACAGATTGATGTGTGTTATCTTTTCTCTTCCTTAATGTTTGAATGGATTTCATTCAAATTTTGTCCATAATATCTCTAGGGGTTGGCAAATAATTCTTAATTTCAGAAAGTTGATTTTATCCCTAGCGACGTGCGGGCAGGGCTCCAAAAGGGGAAATTAGACAATATTTTGCTTCAAAATGCTACTCCTTCTCAATGCTTTGGTAGACTTCAACCAAATTAGGTGTGAAATATTATTGCAGGTACTTATCATTTCTGAAATTCACAAAGTTGATTCAACCTCTAGAGACCTGAGGGCAGGGCCCAAAATGGGGAAATTAGATAATATTTTGCTTCAACTTGCTACTCCTTCTTGATCCTTAAATGGATTTCAACCAAATGTGGTACAAAACATCATTTTGGGTGGATAATCATTTAAATTCAGTTGATTCAACTCCTAGGAACTTAGGGGTGGGGCACCAAAATGCTACTTCTTTTCAATGCCTTGGTACATTTCAACCAAATTAGGCCTAAAACATTATCAGGGAGTGGCAATGATATCAGATATGCTTAAGGTGATCCTGAAATTGTCCTGACCAAATCTTATTTTTACTCTTCTGTCCAAAATCCAGCATAGAACAAATAGTCTGAACTTCTTCTCCTGTTTCATTCACTTCAATGAGAAAAATATTTCAAATTTGATTATTTTAAAGATAAGAAAGAGATGATTTGTTTTTTTTTCAGTCTGATCATAACTTCAACATGTTAACCACAGTAGTTATTTTGTGGTTTGTCCATCCATTTGTCGACTGTTAGATGACCATTAAGGGCCATGGCCCTCTTGTTTTTAGTGATATGGGGGGAGATTAATCTACCCCACGTAGAGTGACAAGGGGAAATAAGTCTTCTCAATACATAATGTCTTTTCCCCTATGATAACACCAAGAGATTCTTTCCATTGTGACACGAAGAGATTCTGGCGATGGTGACACCTGCAGATTCTGTCCATGATGACACCTGCAGATTCTGTCCATGATGACACCTGCAGATTCTGTTCATGGTGACACCTGCAGAGTCTGTCCATGGTGACATCTGCATATTCTGTCCATGGTGACAACTGCAGATTCTGTCCATAGTGACACTTGCAGATTCTGTCCATGATGACACCTGCAGATTCTGTCCATAGTGACACCTGCAGATTCTATCCATGATGACACCTGCATATTCTGTCCATGATGACACCTGCAGATTCTGTCCATAGTGACACCTGCAGATTCTGTCCATGGTGACACCTGCAGATTCTGTCCATAGTGACACCTGCAGATTCTGTCCATGATTACACCTGCAGATTCTGTCCATGGTGACACCTGCAGATTCTGTCCATGGTGACACCTTCAGATTCTGTCCATGGTGACACCTGCAGATTCTGTCCATCGTGATACCTGCAGATTCTGTCCATAGTGACACCTGCAGATTCTGTCCATGGTGACACCTGCAGATTCTGTCCATGGTGACACCTGCAGATTCTGTCCATGGTGACACCTTCAGATTCTGTCCATGGTGACACCTGCAGATTCTGTCCATGGTGACACCTGCAGATTCTGTCCATGATGACATCTGCATATTCTGTAAGCTACCACACATGGTGAACTTATTTATTTGATAATAATTATGGAACAAGTCTTATCAAATTGATTGATCATATGGCCCAGATTGGAGTGCTTAAGAGATCTTCATGTGGTATAAGCTTAGAAAACTGTAAGAAAACTTAGGTGGTCAGGCAGAAGATCCCACACCTTTTCACATCCAGTCAGGGAATTTGAAGCCTGGTTGCTGGATGAAATGTGGTTACATTACCTAGTCCCCATAGTGCCACGTGACCATGTAGAAAATGGTTTGTATGTGTGGGAGTCGTGATTAGTACATCAAACTAACACTCAGATGAAGATCTAAAATGTGTGGTTTGATTCCCCAGGAGTGTTTGTTTCTCTGGAATTCTAGAATCACAGATCATCCTGTGTCGTCTTTCGGCAAAAAACATACCTCCAGTTTATCTTGATAGCATGCGACAGGCATAATGTTCAACAAAGGTAGTCACCAGTGGAGTACAATGAGACTGTGCCTAAAAATGACCCTGGCTGTTCATGGAGTGAAAAACCTTGTAAACACACAAACAAGATATAGCATGTATATTTGAAAATTGCTGTTGTAAACATGGTAAATTGTTGTGTATTTGGAAGAGCTGTAAGACCTTCCAATGGCTTAGCTATGTACCATCCCCACACCTGCTGAAATCTTGAATCAAGATGCATTTTTTTTTTTTTTGCTTTCATTAGGTCTTCTTTTCTACTGATTATCAGAAAGAAGGTTTTCTAATTATTTTAAAACAGTCCCTCTTAATTTCCATGAATTGAACATCTATTTAATAAACGATGAATTGAATTGGAAACTAAATCTGAAAATATGTATCCTGAAAGATTTTGTTTAGATTGAAATGTCATTTTAAAGGGGATAGATGTGTATTGCATATTATCTTTATTTTCTATTAAGGTATTGTACTTTGAAACAAGCAGTTTTCAGTGTTGATAGTACACTTAGCAGTTCGAAATTTTATATTTTTTTAAGCCGAAGGTCAAAAGCAATTTTATTTATTTTCACCCCAAAACAGAAAAAAACCCGATAAAGTTAACTGTTAATTGTGACAACCTAATTTGAAAATTTATTTTCTTTTACAAAATTTGATATGTATTTTATAGCTTATACTATCGAAACTTTGTAAAGCAATTTTATCAATATATATATATTGTCAATATATGAAGCATTCAGCACCAGTAAGATTGCTCATTTTGAAGATGATTTAGACCGTTTTAAAATCTAATACTAAGAAACTAAATGTATTTTTACACACTACCTCAGTTCAAAAATCAGATATGATGTGGATGACAAGCTTTTCCGTGTTGTATATGCATCAATGAAGTTACTTGAGGTTTATTAATTGTGGTAAAACTTTTCTTTTATATTTTTAATGGTTGAACTTAAGAAGATCAAATGGATTTTTTTTCAATTAAAAACATTTCTATTTTTATTTTGTCTCAGCTGTGTCAAGAATTTGTATGAGTAGAAATTGTTTCTGTAAAATTTCTCAGTTTTATTAGCAGATTTTTACATATATTTATGTGTTGATAAATGAAAATATTGAAATAGCTACAGATGAGAATTTGAAATTAAATTTAGTTAAAAAAGGTTTATTATCATCCCCAAAGGATATATTGTAGTCGTTATATAAGTCGGCTGTTGATTGGTCAATCATCCATAATCTATTGTTTTAAGTTTATTTTCAGAATAAAAGGAACAGTTTTCTCCTATGTATTGATTTTTGTCTCTTCCTGAACTTGTCTTTTCTAAAATATTTTTCTAAAAAAGATCCACATTTTGGTTTTTTTTTATGTTTGGTACTAAATAAATTTTTGGAGTAGTGAATTAGACCTTTTCAAAAATCATTATGGATAAAAAAGTTGCTTAGTATTCAATCTATCATCATCATCATCATCGATTTTAGTTATTTCATCATAAACTTTTTGCTTTTTGTTTTGTGCTACTTGACTTACAGTGTCCATTCAGTTATAGATATATTTCCACAGATGATCCTAAGATGATACAGACTGATGAGGGCCTTCTGATTAAAAACATCACTACAGATGACGGCGGCACCTACATCTGTATGATCCTCTCTTCCATAACCTTCAAGAAAGTTCCCATCACTGTGTTTGTCAAGGGTAAGAATTTCCAATGAGTCTTGTCTCTCTTTGCTATTTCTTATCTATAATTGTTCCTATTTGTTGATATTCTGTTTTGTAATTGTCTCACTTTGTTTACTTTCCTTATTGATTTTCTCAATTTGTTTATATTAAATTTGTATTTGTCTCTCTTTGTTAACATTTTGTTTATGATTATTACCCTTGATAAATATTTTATTTGAATTTATTTCCCATTTTGAAGGATTTGTTTGTGATTATCTCCCTTTGTTTGCAGTACCACCAGTTATTACTCAGTCACCTTCAAGACAGGAAACCATTACTGGTACATCAATGAGAATGGAATGTAGGGCTACTGGAATCCCGGAACCCAAGTATGAATGGTTCAAGGTAAGATGTTTAGCTAAAACATGTTAGCTATATTAAAGTGATTAAGGTTTAGACTTCAAGCCCTTCACAACATTCTTGAGTCTTTAGATTTCATTACTTACCATATCCACACCCCTTGGGAAATTTTAAGACAATTGATATTCTCTATTCAAGGTGAAGTACTATGTTACTCTGGTAAAATAAATTTGTATAGCCTGTCTTACTTGAAAGAATTTCTGTTCAGCTCAATTGGTAGAGCATGAGTCTCCCCATTGGAGGCATGACCTTTGTTACAATAACAACAATGACAAGCATAACCATCCTTAGTAACTGTTTAATCTTATATTTCCACGAGGCTTAATGTTTGTGGTTTAAAAAACAAATTTATTTTCAGGACACTTGATATCATGGATAATTTTACAGCAATAAATATATTAATTTTAACAGTTCAAGGACATATGGATTCATGAATTAAGAGTTCCCAAGAAATCAATAAAAACTAAAGGCTGGCCAAAATGATTGATTTCACAAAAGATTTAATATATATAAAATGAAAATGATGGTTTTTCTCTTGTTTCTGCCCAAATTTGAGTGAAAGGTAGTTGATGAGTAGTAAGAAATTTAAAAGTCTTTTTGCTTAATGTCATTGATTTATCAAATGTTTGATAAATTTTGTATTTCTTTGATTATCAGTTAAAAGTTTCGATGCAGAATCTTGTTACTCACTGGACAAGCTTGTGTTTTGCAGATTGGTCAAACAAATGCTCTAGTCGACGGTGACCGTTTTTCAATAGATGCAGTCGTAGGCACCTTTATCATAAACGAAGTGATCATTGACGACAAAGGAATCTATCGCTGTGAGGCCTACAATGATGCTGGGAGAGCTATGAATGAAGCAGAACTGAATGTTCTAAGTAAGTCAAAAAACACAAAACAGTTCCGTAATATAATGTAATTATCCAGGAACAAGCTAGGTTATAAGTTCAGTCACATCTATCACATTTTTTGAAGAAATACAGTCCGTAACTTTATCTAATACATCTTGTCTGTGAGTCGAACTTTGTGTCTAGACTGCTTGGGTATGGAAGACTTAGTAGCCTTTCAGTCCTTATTGTTTTTGTTGGAACGGCTATATTTATTTACAGCACTAAGATATGTGTAATACAAAACAGAAATCTAGAGAATATCTGTACAAACCATACACAGCGCAAATATAGTGATATCTTAACCTACATCTCATAAAGAAGACATCAGGGCTTTTCATACAATAACGGCCGTTCATTAACCGATCTTGGAATCGACTGGAAATTGATGTTATCAGAAAATAAAACAGATATTTTTCCTATGTGTTATTTCTAAATTTGATTTAAAGATTTTTTTTTCACTATCTGGAACAAAATGTAAGTCTGTTTAAAACTAGGGTTTATTTCATTGAAAAATTTCCCAACATGGTGACTCAGAGTTTTTACAAGGGAAATAAAACAAATTAATCAGCACTATTTGAGGTTACTGAAAAAAACATATATATATATATATATATATATATATATAGATTCAGTGCAATTTTAACATAATGTCAGATTTAAGGAATAAATGCATGGATGAATACCAATATTTGCTACAATATCTATATCAATGAAACACAGCAATTGTAATTTGTGCTATCATATTTTAATGTAATACTCTTAGCTTGAAAATGCCAAATTAACTCTTAAAATATGTATGTTTACAGTGTAAAATTGAGATCCAGAGATATACTGTTGCAGAGTTTATCTTTAATCAGACATCGAAGGTCATTGAAAACCTGTGACATGACATGGGACATTAGAGACATTAGTATATAGTTGTAAACATATTGATAACTCAAACGTTTACTAATTTATGTAATTTACAGTCCCACCTTCAATCAGAGAGCTCAACAACATGTCTGCCAATGAGGGAACCTCAGTGACTCTGCGTTGTGTGGTCAATGGTGACCCAATTAAATCTATCACTTGGGAAAAGGGAGGAGTCTCCTTCAGCACTGGTAATCAAGATGTAAGTGTGTCATCTCAGGTGTCATAAATCAAAGGTCATGATCCCAATTCTGAAATATCTTGTTGTTAGGTATGAGTTTATCGTTACCTGCCTAGCCTTGACATTTTTAGGTCATCTGACCGAAGGGTCTGATGAGATATTGTGATCGCCTTTTGTCCGCCGTCATATGTCGTCTGTCGTCTGTCGTCTGTCGTAACCATTTTCAACTTCTTCTCAAGTTCTACATGTCTCATTGAGCTGAAACTTACCTGAAATGATCGTGACATAATCCTGACCAAAGTTTGTTAATTTCGGGTTGGTCCGAAATCCAACATGGCTGCCATCTTGAAAACACATTTTCGACTTCTCAAGTTCAAAATTTGAAATCTTATATTTTATGTCAGATGACCGTTAAGGCCCATGGGCCTCTTGTTAATGCACACAATATACCAACAGGAAAATCCAAACAGCTGGAAAGTATGTTAAGGTCATAGTGCAAAGTTCAGATATCATTTATCAAAGCCTAATATAAAATGTTGATTTATATATAGATATATAAATGTGAGATTCAATTGTCATGTCATTCAAGGGCATCATACCATGTCAAGGGCATAGTAATTCTTTCGTGGTTATAGGTAGATGTTGTATTGAATTTTAAGGTCATTTAAATGATAGTAAGGTAAGTAAAAAATTTATATCATAAAAGTCTAACCTTCGTAATCAAGGTCATAGGACAGATGATGGTCAAGTCGATGTAAATGTAAGAGGTCGTAAGGTTGTGACATTAGGTCACTGATTATTAAGTGATAACCAATCTTCCTTTTAGTCGGGAGTCTTTACAACATTTTTGCTGTGTTTGATTAGTAGTGAACCCATTATATATATCTGGATAAGGATTTATTGCAAAGCATCGTAATTTTTAACACAAGTTTAATACGTGGATTAAATAAATGCTCAAAAAATAGGATTGTAGACTCTCCAATATTTTCAGTAAAAAATGGTATTTTTTCTTTTACGTAAACTTTGGGACAACCAAACATTTTAAACCATTGGAACAGCCTTCACAGTCTATATATTTTCATGAGTGAGACTTCGTCAAGTGATAAAGTGAATGTGACTTCATCAAGTGATAAAGTGAGGGACTTTATCAAGTGATAAAGTGAGTGAGATTTTATCAAGTGATAAAGTGATTGGGACTTTATCAAGTGATAAAGTGAGTGAGATTTTATCAAGTGATAAAGTGAATGGGACTTTTATCAAGTGATTGAGACTTTATCAAGTGATAAAGTGAGTGAGACTTCATCAAGTGATAGAGTGAGACTTCATCAAGTGATAAAGTGAGTGAGACTTCATCAAGTGATAAAGTGAATGGGACTTTATCAAGTGATTGAGACTTTATCAAGTGATAAAGTGAGTGGGACTTTATCAGGTGATAAAGTGAGTGGGACTTAATCAAGTGATAAAGTGAGTGAGACTTTATCAAGTGATAAAGTGAATGTGACTTCATCAAGTGATAAAGTGAGTGTGACTTCAAGTGATAAAGTGAGTGGGACTTCATAAAGTGATAAAGTGAGTGGGACTTTATCAAGTGATAAAGTGAGTGTGACTTCATCAAGTGATAACGTGAGGGACTTTATCAAGTGATAAAGTTATCAAGTGATAAAGTGAGTGAGACTTTATCAAGTGATAAAGTGAATGTGACTTCATCAAGTGATAAAGTGAGGGACATTATCAAGTGATAAAGTGAGTGAGATTTTATCAAGTGATAAAGTGATTGGGACTTTATCAAGTGATAATGAAATGACATCACAGACATTGACTTTATACAATGAAAATGCAGTTTTCACTTGTCTTTTGTCATGATGATTTTTTTTTTCTTATTTTTAAGGTGGAAGGCAATTCTGGTGACCTGGTTTCTGTGAAAACAAATGTACGTGAGACGGACATGGCTGAAGAGAATCAACGGATGTCTGAACTAACCATTAACAACTTGTTACCTGAAGATGCTGGAATGTATGAATGTCATGCTGATGGTGGTAAATCTGGTACAGCTGAAGGCCAAAGCATCCTCACTGTTAGATGTAAGTTTCAGTTAAATGTAAAATCATATATTTTGGTGTGCACTTGATTTTCCTTGATAAACCATATTCACAAAATCATGACAACTGTTGTCATATGACCTTGGCTGTAAGTGTCCCTCTTAACTCTCATCCTCATATGACCCCTGGATATTGGGTCCCTCTTGACACCTGTTGTCATATGACCCTGGCTGTAAGTGTCCCTCTTAACTCTCATCCTCATATGACCCCTGGATGTTGGGGTGTCCCTCTTAACTCTCATCCTCATATGACCCCTGGATGTTGGGGTCCCTCTTGACACCTGTTGTCATATGACCCTGGCTGTAAGTGTCCCTCTTAACTCTCATCCTCATATGACCCCTGGATGTTGGGGTCCCTCTTGACACCTGTTGTCATATGACCCTGGCTGTAAGTGTCTCCTATTAACACCTGTTCTTATTGACCCTTGCTGTTGGTGTCCCTATTGACACTTGTCCTCTTATGACCTTGGCTGTTTGTGTCCTTTGAAACCAGTCCTGCTATGAGTCTGGATTTTGCAAGAATATTTAACCAGTAAAACCAAACAAAACTGATTTGCCATCCTGACCTTTGCCCGCTGTGATAAACTCTTTCAAATGCTTCATTTTAACCTTTGAGTTTTGTGACACTTTCCATTCCTTACAGATGCACCTGTTTTTGCCAAGGATCAGAAGGAACACAATTATACATGGGCCGGGCAGACTGGAGTGCTTCGTTGTATTACTAAGGGTGAACCCCTCCCCACCATCGAATGGTTCCGAAATGACGTCAAGATCCTGCAGGGCCAGAGCTACTTTGATCAAACTGACCGACAAGTAGATGCTGTCACGCGTGAAGGAGTCCTCATGATTCGTGTCGACTTCGGAAATGAGAATGAAGTCTACACCACATACACATGTCAGGCAACCAACGATATGGGCGTTAGCCAGAAAAACATCACACTTGTTAAGTCAAGTAAGTCACAAATTCTTCTACCTTTTTTGAAAGTTATTTACATCTTGGGCTCTACGCTTTTCAATGCCAGTAAGAAGTACCTTATCAAAATGATAGTTGAATAAGCTGCCATAAGGATCAACTCTACAGGAGAAAACCTTCTTTGTTGTTTCATGCTCTGAACTGTTTTACAACTTGTTTCTAGATTCTTTCCATTTTTTAGTCTGATTATTACTAGGTACGTAGATTGTAAGAATTCAAATTGGAATACAGCTGATGTTTAAGTAGTGCAGAAAGTGAGAAAAAAATGCCCAAAAAAAGGAAAATAAACAGATTAAGATTTTTTCTTTGCATTTTTTCTGTTATTCTCTGTATTTTCTCTGTTTATTGAAGTAATTAATTCATGTTGTGAGAAATGACCCTTGAGTGTTCCTCCACTTACCTGGGTTATGTTTTTGAAACAGTTCAGATACCCACCTCATAACCATATATAGAATTGCTTAGCACTGAGAGATAAACACGTTCTTGATAGAAGAATTTCTGGGTCATATGTTTGAAATAGTTCAGATCCCAACCTAATAACCATGTCTTTGAACTGTATTCTATTTGTTTAATTTCTAATAAGATGATTCCTTTACTAATTAACAGGTGTTCCAGTATTGAACAAAGTATCTGAACTGGAATTGACCCCCACCACTGTTAGATTCAGCGTAGAGGTTGCCTCTGTAACTAATGGACCTCCACCAACATCTGTTTTGGTTGAGTACGGCACTGGAAATATCACTGAAGTAAATCTAGGTAAGAAAAAAGAATCAAAATCATTTGATCTCCCCACTTATGAAAGAAGGGATACTAGTAACCATATTGTGTGTCTGTCTGTACATATACATGTGTGAAAGGGTGTGTAGGGCATTGGTGCATATGTGTAGCAGAAATGCTTGTTTACAAGATATTTGATTAAACTCTTAACACATGTAGTTCATATTCACTCTATAATCTCAAAACGTCTAGTTTTACAACAGATAAAGTTTAGATGATTTTCAGTCCTGGTTAATGTTCTAACGGTCAAGGCCACTTTTGGAAGCCAGATACACCATTCCATATTAGGGAGTGGGGGTATTTTTTTAATGGTCATTACTTACTATTTTGTCTACCAACAGAATGTAATGGGAGTAAACATTGATTATAAATATCCTGGTGTGCAGGTGAATAAGGAAGGGAAATAACTGAAAAATACTAGCAGAAAATTTTCTCAAGTAGATTATTGACGGTTATTTGGAAAGGTTTATACCAGGTACACAGGTAAGCAAAGTCTATACCAGATACAGGTGAGAAAGGTTTATACCAAGTACACAGGTGAGAAAGGTTTATACCAGGTACACAGGTAAGCAAAGTCTATACCAGGTCCACAAGTGAGAAAGGTTTATACCAGGTACACAGGTAAGCAAAGTCTATACCAGATACGGGTGAGAAAGGTTTATACCAAGTACACAGGTGAGAAAGGTTTATACCAGGTACACAGGTAAGCAAAGTCTATACCAGATACAGGTGTCGCTGTCGTAAACATTTTCAACTTCTTCTCAAGTTCTACATGTCTCATTGAGCTGAAACTTACTTGAAATGATCATGACATGATCCTGACCAAAGTTTGTTAATTTCGGGTGGTCCGCCATGGCAAAACACATTTTCAACTTCTTCTCAAGTTCAAAATTTGAAATCTTGTATTTTATGTCAGATGACCGTTAAGGCCTATGGGCCTCTTGTTTACACTAGTGACCTTGTCTGTAAATTGGCCATCTTTTTCTCGGAGTCACCAAAACATAGATTCTTCAAAACTAAACACTCAAGGAACAGATTTATGAAATGCGATGTTAGCTATATAGACATATATTGTTCACAACCCAAAAAATATCTTGTTATTGAGTTAAAGTTTAGGTGCAACAAACACTGAAATCTAATGCAATAAAATTTAACACCTGAATTTGGACATTATATCAGGGAAATTTTTTATCATGATCTGTTGCAGTTGCCTTTTGTCTATTGTCATGCATTGTCCATTGTCAGCAGTTGACAGTTAAGATTTCTTCAGGAATACCCCTGAACAAGTTTTATTGAAATAAATCTTTCAATGGCCAAAGACGACAAGAAATTGTGAATGATATGGTCCTTGTATACTGGCTTAAATAACTCCAATATAGTCATACACAGGGATGAGTGACTTATCTAGTTTTCCTAACAAGCACATGTTCTTTATTATAAGAGATTTTAATGTATGAAGTTTTTCTGTTACAGACCGAAATGGCCCAACCATTGTAGAAATCGAAAAACTGCAAGTAAACACTCCATACACATTTCAATTCTTTGCTAAGAGTGAGGCTGGCCGCAGTGTCTCTGAAACAGTTCAACTCACCACATTAGCCATGAGTAAGTACAGCCTTTCCACTACTCTTTATGGGTCTCTTGAGTCATCAGAAAATGGGACATTTGATGACTTAGTGTGTACATACAATTATACAGATTCAGGTTTTCACGTTCCATTCAAAGTCTTGAGAACATGCTGATTCTTAAGTATTGCTACAAGAAACCCATTTTTTTGGACAGATCTATCTACTTTCACTTTCCTTTCTAACATTTGTAACGAGGAATTGTAATAACCAACATCAGGTTAACAATATGCTGTAAAGTCACAAGAAGACAGTGAGGTCTCAAAACTAGGTTTAAGATTAGTTCCTTCAAAACATTCAGCTATTTTTATGATTTTCAAATTTAAAAGCTTGCCCTTTGAGTGGACACACCTATTCCACAAGCATCTTGCCCTTTGGGTTGAAAGACCCCTATTCCACAAGAATGTTGTTCCTTGGGTGGAGAGACCTCTATTCCACAAGCATCTGGACCTTTTGGTTGGGAGACACCTATTCCAAAAGAATCTTGTCTGTTGGGTTCAGAAGATACTATGCAACAAGAATGTTGCCCTTTGGATGGAAAGACCTCTATTCCTATCTTAAGGGGATCAATAACTCTTTAATAAAAATCTTAAGTGAAACTAAAATGTCGCTAATGACTCTTGTTGTATTAATTTTCATCAGGAGAACCTTATCCTACTGAAGTCATGTCAAAGCCTGAAAGTGATGAATCCACAAGATACCTGTTACAATGGAGCCCTCCAAAGACTGGCGGCTCACCCATCCTAAACTACAACGTCCGCTACCGTATGGTTAGTGATACAATAGTGGTGTACTGGTTCAGCTTCCATGTATGCTACCTCATGATAAATAATGATTCATTAATGTTTTCATAATAATTTGCGAAGGATTTACATGGTCTCCTGGCCAAAACGTTAGTGTGAAGATTGTGAAAGCAGTGTTAAATCTGTTGGTAGGTGATCCTTTATACAGTTAGTTTTCAAGAAATTAGAATTGACTTTTTGCCCTTAAGTATTATTGTATTGTGTACATATTGCCTTTATCGACAGGTACCTGTTATATTGATATGGTCTTTATAGACAGGTACCTGTTATGTTCATATGGTCTTTATAGACAGGTACCTGTTATGTTGAGATGGTCTTTATAGACAGGTACATGTTATGTTGATATGGTCTATATAGACAGGTACCTGTTATGTTGAGATGGTCGTTATAGACAGGTACCTGTTATGTTGATATGGTCTTTATAGACAAGTACCTGTTATGTTGATATTGTCCTTATAGACAGGTACCTGTTATGTTGATATGGTCTTTATAGACAGGTACCTGTTATGTTGAGATGGTCTTTATAGACATGTACCTGTTATGTTGAGATGGTCTTTATAGACAGGTACCTGTTATGTTGAGATGGTCTTTATAGACAGGTACCTGTTATGTTGAGATGGTCTTTATAGACATGTACCTGTTATGTTGAGATGACCTTTATAGACAGGTGCTTGTTATATGTAGATGTTTGTGGTATAGAGGTGGTTGTTGTAGACAGGTATTCGTTATAGAGATATGGCCTGTATTGACAGATGTTCATTACATTATTTATTATATCAGGTTTCTGTAAAAGATGAGAAAAGTGTTGAAAACAAGTACCAATTTGAGGAGGAATTGAGAGGATGGTATACAGTTAAACCAGCACCAGCAGGAGGATCATCTACATTAAGGTTAGACGGTCTCGTTCATTCCACATTCTACCAAGTTGAGGTAACCGCTACCAACCTCAAGGGCACATCTGAACCACGACCCTTCATCTTCCGCACAGCCAACCGTAAGTACTCAGCACATTTTTTCTGTTTTCGGTCCGTTTCGATTGTGTATTGATGCATCTGTTAATTTGATGAAAGTTTTTAAACCTCAATGCTGCACTCGGCTTAGATTTTAGTTTGAAACAGGATTTCCAGTACAACTGTTTTGAGAAGCGGTCAGTCGTTCTGTGGAGCGTTTGCAGTGAGATGCAAATTTGTTCAATTCAGTCTACTGACATTTAATTTCTAAGTGATGCTGGGGTAATTTTATACTTTTTGTTAAAGACAAACTTCAATAAAACCATGATGACGGTCACATAGGATAATGAAGAAAAAAAAAATGAAAAAGATTTTTTTTTTTCAAAACTATAAAGTGAAAGAAATAAAGTTATCTAACTGGGGAGACTATGGCTGGATGTCATACCAACAGACTACTACTAATACAACTGAATGATTTTCCTAATCAAGAAGAGTGGTTTCCTATGTGTTATTATTAGATTGGAGATTGATGTGAAAGTTTCAATTTGTTTGTGATGGCTTGATCTATATGTGTTTTAAATGGAAGTTTGACCGAGGGAACTTAAGCTAGAAGATATTTTCAAAATTGGCTCAGAAAAGAGTTTGACAACAATGCATAAAAATGCTGTGTGTGCTCTGTCATGGTCTGCCAAAAGCTTTGCTTTGAAGTAAATTTATGAAGTAATTGATATTGTCTCGAATTTCCAAGCAAGTCATGTTTGTGCTTAGAATACAAGGAGGGATTCATCTTGTTCTGGACATTTATGACAACTAATATTACATAGGGTCAGAGGTTGCCAACTTAAATGCAATATGGGGTCAAAGGTCATAAAAACCAATGCAAAGAAGGGTCAGAGGTCAATAAACACCAACATGGTAAAGGATCAGATGCCAACACCATTACAATTTAGGGTCAGAGGTCACTAACACCATTTCACTTTAGATTCATTGGATACAACACCATTATAGCATAGTGTCAGAGTTCACCAAGACCATTGCAATATCCGCTTAGTACAAGTCAGAGATTAACGATCATCTGGTCGAACGTCATTAGCACTAATACAGCATAAAATTATGATTGAATATTTACGTAGGATGTTTATCAACATCTGTGACATGCCAGTTATTTTTACTGCAAACCTCTGAAGTTTCAAAACAGATATGTTTTATCTGGTTCTGAAGAGATCCTGAAAAGTTGATTTTAAATGATGGAGTTGCATAAGAGTAAGTACAAGAGTTTGTTGCAGGTGTGTTAAACAAATGGTCATCTTCATCATATCCATATAAAGTTGAGAGTTGATGGAAAAATTGGTACTTGTTTAAAAAAAAACTCCGTACAATCCTGTGCTAGTATACTGGTATGCTTCCTGGTTCTTTTTTTTTTCTTTTTTCTGCCAATTTTTTTTCGTCCACATTTAAGCTGCACCGGTATATAAACCACATGCCCGATTCACGAGGAAAAAAGGTGCAGCTTATAATCTGGAAATACAGTATATTGAGTTATCTCTCTCGTTTGTTTGTTTTTGTGAGAACTTTGGCTGACTGTTTACGATGTATCTGAAGATTATATGGTGTCTGTTGCATGACTTGAGAATCATTATTTCATAAAACTTGGTATGACCTTGGATGATATAACTTTTGACCTCATGTTGACCCCAATTTCTATATATACATTGTGGTTTCCAGATGAATCGGGTTCCAACCCAGATGGTAAGAATTCTGTACAGCAGAACTTCCCGTTATTTGCTTCCGATTTCTCATTTATTTTGCCTGCTGTCAGTGGCCCTGATTTGCCTTGTAAGGGGCCTTATAAATGCCTTGTCTTAACGGGACTAAAGATTTCCTAATTCAGTTAGCCATGTCGGATGAGTCTTCGATTTTATCAAGTAATGAAATGGCATTGATACCTGAATTGTTTTTAATGTCAGCGCTTATTGTAAAGGGATCTAAAAATACGCAGCTTCTTGGTGTTTTATGTATCTTGAATTTACATTATTTTTCAATAGTGGTACAAAAATAATATGAGTCTGTGTTTCTCAAAACCCACTCCGAATATGTCCAACCTTATACAATTAAATCGATGGTGTTTCTCAAGTAGTTTAGAAATAAGCTATATTAGGACTCCTTAGTTTTAGCATTAGTATTTCACAATTTGACTGTGAAGAAGTTAATTTCAGTTTTCAACCTCAGGGGAGTAAGGAATGTTTCTTTTCTTTAAAAAAGTATGTATTGTACGATATAGAATGTCACTAAGGTAGCTGTTCTATATGGATATATACATTGTCAGTATTTGTTCATCTCGTACATTTATCAGAAATGTTGATATAGTTATCTCCCTTTCAATGGTCTAGATAATTGTTGGAGTTACTTCCCTTGTAATTGTTCTGCCTGCAGTTTATGCAGTTGACAACAGTAACAATGATGTGCATGATCATTGAACATGAAGAACGATTTTAGCTCACCAACACAAAATTTTTCATGCACACTTACACCATTTCAGTTTTTTGTTCCTTTTTTTTTCATTTAGTTTTCAGGGTACTTGGTGGAGTGTAATAAGTTAAGAAGTTTGACTCTAGAATTACTACACAGTGAATACTGGCTCATATATTTTTCTTAACATTCTGGCAAAAACATTTTACTTCTACTAAAGTAGGGGATCACACACCACCTTCCAATAGTTTTCTAGAATTAAAGTTATTTTTTCAATACTGGTACTTCGATATAAATCATGAGACCCATTTTTTAGTTATGTATCTCAAATTATTCGCAGCTGTCTTGATACAAATATGAACACAAAATTTATTTTGACTAGGAGCATAATGGATATTATCTCAAAAGGTAATCAACAGTGGAAACAAAATTTTGGTAGATGGTTTTTTACAAAGGAAATTACAGAAAATATTTTATTCTCTAAGCTTTGTTATCTCTTTACTATAGTAAAGCAAATCATAAAGTCATAACTATCAGATTGGAACTCTTCTGTTTTGGAGACACAATTTTAAATGATGGATTTCCTCCTTAAGTTGTGAAATGTTGAAAAGAACTAAAGCTGACTAGGAAAAACTGGAAATTTCTTAACTTACAAATTCAATGTGGTGTAATATTTTATCTAATTTTGAAAGTTTCTTCTAAAACTGAATTGTTAGGTATAGTAATGAAGCCAAAATAGTGTATGGATTATGATCAGGTATAAAGTAAAATGTGAAGGTGTCATTGTGCAATGCCCCCTGGTGTTAGGGAAAGTTACAATTTTAAGTTCATAAGCACTCTTCGCATGATGAACCATTTCTGGGCATGTCTAGTGGTACACTATGATCCTGATAATGGCATGGATTTCTCTTATAGATTCCAATTCATCTAAGTTATTATCTAAATAGAAAGCAGATTAATCATCTTTTTGGCTGTTGGAATTCTTATTTATTTTAACTTTTTCTCATTTTGAAAAACGATATAATCTGTTGATATATATATACAAATATCAAAGATATTTGATGACTGCAAGGTAAAATATGGAATTATTCACAATTGATTTTCAAATTCTGATTTGATATGAGTTTTCTTTCTTGTAATATTTATTCAAAGTTTCCATTAAGTATTTGTGTCACTAAGTTAAAATCTAAGATTAGGTTCTGCACCATTTTATCTTTCTTGATAGTAATGAACCTTCAGATATACACATCATTTCTGAAAGGCAGCCATACTCTTTTTTAATACTCCGATTGTTTTGTCATTAAATAGATCATTTAAGATTGAAAAAAGTCCCACAGAAGTTGATGTTATGTTATAAGGAATGAACTCTAAGGGCAGAGGCATTTAATGTTGTGAAAACAATAGACCTGCTGCTGTGTTTAGATGCTTGTTCAGTTTCATTAACTTGCTAACTGAGATATATTAAATCTCAGTGATGTTGTCTATACAGAGTTGCTCCCCTTTGCATAATGAGTTGTCTCCCTTTCCTAATAGCCGGCCCATTAGAGAAGGGTGCTTTAGAAGCTTCAGAGAGCAGTAAGTAAAGACATGGCATAGTTGGATTTTTTTAGGGAATGTATCTTGGGACTAAGGTTTTTGCGTAATGCTTTTTGTAGTTAGCGAGAATGTTGATCGCATGATGGCTAAAATGACTGGATGTTTAGCATCATCCCCGTTTTGAAAAATGAGTGTTGTTCAGGCTGTTTTGCCTGAATTTGATGGAGTATCCCTTTTTCTGAACCCCAAAATAACCCTTAATTTTTCAGTATACTAGAAATGTCATTTGTATGCTACAATTAGGTTTTCTTTGGAAGACAAAAAAAAGTACATACTAAAAAAAATTTAGAATTGTCATTGAAAGAATCTATGGAGATTCCTGTCAATAATAACTCAATATGAGATATTATCAAATTACAGAGTTATCTTCCCTTGCTGTTTTATAATGGTGCTCTTACACATATTAGGTAGTGGATGTTATCTGTCACAAGATGTGTGATTAGGAGTCAGTTACTTATGTGTCAAAGAATTATTTCCTCTGTACTATCAAAAAAAATCAGCTCCTGGATATTGAAAAGAGAAAAGGAATAAAGAGGTAAAGCCATTTTTCAGGTGGGCAAGTGAAAAAAAAGGTTGTTTTGGGAATAAGATTTATCAGTGTTGATATAGAGTTATCTCCCTGGAAGTAAATTCTCCTGTAGGAGTGGTTAAGTGTGCGTTTGTTACTAACCTGTATTTGTTCTTATCACTCATCCCTCAGAGATGACACAGTTAGCGTTGGAGGGTAAGACAATGGTTCCTTCCACCCGGAATTTTGTTTATTGATGTGCGAGATGTTTGTGTATATGTGCTATATAGAAACTGTAACTGTGTTGTACATTGAATGTTTTGTCTAATTTTTTTCCAGATTTTTTTTTTTTTGTTGGGGAGAGAGGGGGGTATGGGATAGTCAAATTTTGTTGTTTTGTCTGGTCTGGAGTGAACTTTTGCAGACAGTAATGCTGAAATCAACTTAGATAGTTGTCTGAAAATGGACTGATGTCTCCTGTGAGTGACTGGACGTTTACCGGACGTTTACTAATTGACCTGCCTTTGTGATCTGTGTTGAGCCTGTAATAAGCCAAACAAACCGATTACATAGAAACTCAAAGTCAGGGGGTGGGCTTATTACAGGACACAGATCAAACAGTATTTGTTTTAAAACTACTGAACAGCAATAGACACGGATACGCTTATTAAATATCAAATATGTTTTACTGTATATACATGGTGTCTGGGTAATTGACAAACCAAATGGTTGTGATATAAACCTGTGGGCTGATACAGAATTTGGGGTTTGATCACCAAACAAAGAAATTACAGAATACTGAGATTCTTTTGGAGACTTGGAATGGGAAATGGCCACATAAAATGTGGGTTAAACAGAAAATGTTTCGTCATAGAGATAAAATAAAATCAAAATGGTAGAGTCAGGGTATAAGATGTATTTCCATGACTGTCTGAATACGTTTTAAACCAAGTGTATAAAATACAAAAAGTATACCATACAACATCACATTTTTAAACAGTATAATGTTATAAACTTAGTGATTATAAAGTTAAATAACAGATATGTTTTGGAGACAGTTAATGAAGTGAGAAATACATCACAATTGATAACATGCAGTTAGAGTTGAAATGTAATGAGGAATGTAGCTAAACAAAGATATTTATCAACAAACATTTAAAAATTACACTGCCCATCTTTTTTATTGTTTTTGTAAGAAATGCAACAAGAGTGATTGTAACACAAATATTCCATTCTTTAACAGCCGTCTGGATTGTCTCCCTTGTATAGTTTTGTTTCTGTAAGAAATACAACAAGAATGATTGTAACACAAATATTTCATTCTTTAACAGAGGTCTGGATTGTCTCCCTTGTATAGTTACACACTATGTAGCTGGTATGGTTTCTCCTCTGTATAGCCTTAAGACACTATCCTAAGCATCAATCATCCAGCATCAAGTTTGCATGATATAGATATTTATACTGTCTGATAAGATTGGCCAATCAGGAATCCTGTTTCTACTCTGTTTAACCAATCAGAAATCTGCTCTGTCTGAGTACTATGTAGAATCAATCATTGACCATCCAAACAGCTTGGTCCATTTCTTAGCCTGAAGAGCTTAGCAATAAGGTCACTGAAATTTTCAAACTGAAAAGGACAAAGATTTGAAAATTTTTAAGGAATTTTGCAAATAATGTTTTCAAATTTTGAGATATAACCTGTAATTAGTTTAGAAATGGTTTGATCAGTTTCAGAAATGTAGCTAATTTTTTGTTGTTGTGTGATCTGACTGTTAAGCTTTTTCAGGCATATTGGGCTTGGACCAACATAGCTGATAACACTTTATAGGTGATCATTTGTCTGATAATGAAACATATCTCATCAAGCACTTATCATTTATTTGTGCATTTCTCTTGATTTCTCTATTATGCATGTTGATATGTACGTATATAACGCCAATGTCTTATTACTGTGAAAACATGTTTATAGCCCAACCCAAAGCATTAGATTAACTTACCTTGATATTGTATAATATATAAATCACATTGCTGTTGATGAACTCAAAATTCAATTGACAAAATCCTTCCCATTGTTAATCATGGAGTACAGTTCAGTTTCACTCGGTTAAAATGTCAGGGTCTTTTGACTTCTATATAAAGTCCAAGTTCATTCAGAAAATGTACAATGGTCAAAGTTCATTTTAACTCCATTCAAATATTAGGGTATTTTTGGACCAATATACAAAAGTCAAGCAAATTTAGAAAATGTCCTAATGTCAGATTTCTTTTTGGCTTTATCAATATCAAGGTCAGCCAACCATGATACCACTGACAAGTTCAATATTTTAGCCAAATGGTCAGGGGTGTCCAAAGGTCAGTTTAATGCTGAATATGTCCCTAAGTCAGTTTATACCAATTGGCATAAGGTTACAGATTTCAGCTTAAATTTCCTGCTGACTTTGTTTAGATCCAGATATGTGCAGCCTCCCTTGGGGAAGTTTTCACAGTAAAAAGACAAAAAATCCTTATTTATGCATTTATTGATTTTGATTTTGAAGCCTGATTGTTCTTCTCAAGATGTTGTTTATCCTCTTCAGATATACACAGAAAAAGAATTTGGTAAAATTAGTGTTAAGCTAACAAATCTTGATGAACAATCAGTGCATTGTATGCTGTATTATGATTTTATGTTCAAGATATGTGTGCCTAGTTGTCTCACTTATAATTTGCACTTCTGTGATAGCTGTTTGAGCATGTCCAATCCAGTGGTTTTACCAGTCATAGATCTCTGCACTTAGGAGGAGGTTCACACTTAGATAGAAGGATGGACTATTTAGAAGATACCGTAATGGGCAAAAGTGACTTCATGAACCTTACTAGGCCAAGCGGTCTGTTGACTTCCTGAATCTAAATTGGCCAAGCGGTCTGTTGACTTCCTGAATCTATATAATGCCAAGCAGTCTGTTGATCTTTCTAAATCTTAATGAGCCAAGTGGTCTGTTGACCTCTGGAATCCCCAGGGTTACAAACAATGAATGAAGCATGGTCTGAGTTGAGAAATTTGAGTTCTCTTTGAGTGTTAGTGTTTCTGATCTTGATATTTTACATTAAATATTATTTAAGTTCATACTTTTTTCCAAATTTGTAAGAAATACTCCATAGTCGAATTAACATAAGTGAACATCCAAATAAGCAAAAAGTATAGGATGTTACATAAGGTTGTTTGTGTGTGACAAGCAGTGTTTGTTCCAGTTTTAAACATTCACTTTTAGTGCTTAAGGAATTTGATATAGATGCCTGAAAAAAAAACCAAATAATTAATTCCCAGATGTTTAGAGTCAGGTGGGGATCTCCTCTTAGCATATCTTTGTGGTATACATAGATAATGGATCAAGATCACTGATTAAATCAAAAATTAATTCATCATAGTGTACTATACATAGCTGACGGCTGTCAGAACTGCTGGGATTGGTTTTGCTAAATCTAGTCGCCACCAGTTGTGGTGTGTGTTGTACATAGTTGAGGGATGTAAGAATGCTTGTGATTGGTCTCCAGGATATCATGCTCAAACAGCTCGCACCTTTTGTCTTTGTGGTGGTGTCTCTCAGTGACGTGTTTTTTCTTTTGCTTTTGCAGTGCCCGGCAGCGGTTATGTCTCCAATACAGCCACAGTCTTGCTGGTGTCTTACACTAACCTAGTAGTTGCCATGGCAACCTCAGTTCTCTCAGCATGCCTAGGAGCCCTTTTGTAACTTTCAATCCCGAAGAGTTCTCATCTCAGTGCCACTTGACCTATGACCTTTCTACATGTGGGGAATCCCTAACATAGAGAATGTATAACAGTTCTCACTTGTGTGTATGCATGTCTCACTGAAACAATCACATGACGTAATCATGTGACATATTCTTCTCCATGGAGGAGGTGATCCGGTGCCGTGATTTGATTGGATGGGCATGAATATATTATCATATTGTCAAGTATTTTTTCGGATTTTTTTTCTTCTGGAGAGAGATATCCTGCTTTCATAACTTTGACACTGCCTTCAGCCAGAAAGAAAGGTCAAAGGTCAGATCTGACCTTGTAGCAGGTCAGCGACTGTTCACACATGGCCCAATGTCTACCTAGAACAGACTTGGGCAGTTGAAGAATCAGCTGTGTGCATAGCTAATCCAGGTTAGGAAATGAAGACAAGTGCTACTGTGAACGGTGCCAAAGATCTTGTCATGATATGGAGTGCTACATGAACTGGTGCCCTGATGTCAACAACATCACAGAGCCTGTGCAGTAAAGTTTTGTTTTATGTGAAACAAACCTGCAGTGAGGCTACATCGTTAAATGTTGACAACTGGATGGGAGATTCATATTTACAAAACAACTAGATATTTATATTGATGTTTCGTATGACCTTTCTTACCCCATACTTAACAATGGATTAGTCTGTAAATTTTTAAGCTTATTTTAGTCCTTGCTAGCCTGATTGATTTGATGCAA